GGAGTTGTTACTGACGTTGAATGCCTGTTTCCTCACAAAAATGGTTGAATGCTTCAGATGTATATTCCTTACCGTTGTCTGATCTAAGAAGCTGAACTGCACATCCACTCTCATTCTCAACTCTGGCTTTGAAGCTCCAGAAAACCCGTGCTACCTCTGATTTGTGCTTCAGAAAGAATATCCAACACATCCTTGTGATATCTTCGATAAATGCAACGTAGTAGAGACTGCCCTTCAAAGAAGGTGTTCTTTGAGGGCCTGCAATGTCTGTATGAACTAATTGCAACTTTCTTGAAGCTCTCCAAGCCACCTTAGGAAACGGTTTTCTGCTTTACTTACCTAACTGACATGCCTTTCAATTTGGTAAGTGATCATCAAACTCAGGTAGATCACTTGCCATTTGTTTTGCTTTCATTTGCAACAAGCCTTGATGGTGATAATGCCCAAGTCTCTTGTGCCAAACCTCAGTGACATTTTCTTTGATTAAAAAAATAGCTTGCTCCTCTTCCAGTAGATTAAGTGTGAAGCTTTTCCCTTTCATTTTTACCTTAAACATGTCTTGACCGGTTGCATCTTTAATTAGACAATGCTTGTCTTTAAAAGTAACTTTGAAACCTCTCTCATTAGTTGGCCAACACTTAACAAATTTTGATCAATTTCAGGAACATAAAGTACATCAGAGATCAACTTTGTACCTGAACAGCTTGGTATTGTAACAGTGCCACGTCCTTTCACTGCTATAAATTCTCCATTTCCAATTCTGACTTTGGAGGTTCCAGCAGGCTTCAAGTCCATGAAAAGTTCCCTATCGTGAGTCATGTGATTTGTACAGCCACTGTTAATTAGCCAGCATTCACTCAAGCCACTGCTTAGAAACATGTTGCAACAAAAAGCTGATCTTCCTCCTCTTCTTCTTCAACAACTTGAGCTTCTACCTCCTGTTGCTGATTTTTACTCTTACAAATTATAGCTTCATGTCCAAGTTGATTGCATTTAGTGCATTTTGCATCTGGTCTATTCCAACACTTGAAGGGTGAATGACCTTTCTTACTACAGTGCTTGCATGGAGGATAATTTCCCTTCGAGTTTCCTGTCCTGCCTTTGTTGTAGTTGTTTGGGGTATTTTCTCCATTTGTAGGTTGATTCTTCTTTTCTTCTTGTTCCTACCGAAATCATTATATTTGGCTGGCAGTGCACCTTCAGTTACTCCATCTTCTCTTATGAATTTTCGTTGCTCTTGTGCCTGCAAGGCATTCAATAATTCTGCCAAGGTAATCTTGGACAGATCCTTAGTATTTTCTAAGGTTGTTATTGTTGCCTCAAATCTCTCAAGCACGGTCACAAGAATTTTTTCAACAATTCTTGAGTCATTAAACTCAGAGCCAAGCAATCTTATCCTGTTTGCTAAGCTTAGAAGCCTTTCAGAGTAGTCTTTGATAGACTCTGGTTCTTTCATCCTTTGCAACTCGAAATCTCTGATGAGATTAGCACTTTCATGCCTCTGATTCGTTCATCTCCTTCATATTCGACCTTGAGATAGTCCCAGATAGCTTTGGCTGACTTTAGAGACATAATTCGAGTGAATATGCTCGAAGAAACAGCAACAAACAAACAGGCCTTTGCCTTTGA